TAATTTTCATTTTCAAAATATTTCCGTATTAAAAAATATCATTGGTCAAAGTTGACTGTCATTGACCAAGAAAAGTTAATTTGGCGAACCTTTTCGGAACGGAGAGTATATAATTAAAATAAAAGTAGTGAAAAAAATTTGAACCGATAAATTTTAGTGTCTATAATTGTACTCGAGTTTTACATTAATAGAGTACAATTTTTAATAATAAAGTGCGGCTTTTTTATAATAATATCGAGAAAGCATACAAGACAAATTCGGACAATTATTACAAATTCAATCTGCCATAAGAATAGACATAAAGCCACCCAGCTTATTCAATTCACAACAACATGACTCATTAGACAAGAAACAAATAATTTTAATCCTAAAATGATCAAAACTGGAACATTGTCTATCAAAAATACTCTAAATATCCGAATATTTAGCATATTCATAATGACAAATTAAATACTTTCTTCGTCTGTTTTTATTTATCTAAATTTGACTTTCCATGTCAATGACGTCCAACTTTGACCGATTATATAAAATGATATCAAAATGTTTTTTGTCAAATATACTATCATAAATATATAAAATTATTAAGCTTTATGTAAATATATTAGTTAAAAAAATTGGTTAAAGTTTACACTCTTGACTAGAAAAATCAAAGATACCTAAATAAAAAGGGACCGATGTAATAGTAAATTTAGAGTATTTCCCATGGCTAGTTATACATGGTGCAGCTTTGTTTGTCACATCAGTCTTTTCTAGCTAATACACATTTTGAACGAATTGATTTATTAATTCAATAAAATAATACTTATTCTTAAATACTACTCGTATTAAATTGGGAAAATGTTAATAATATTTTTAAACCCATGAATTATCAGTGCTAGGGATAATATGAAAATGCATATTTTTAAAATTAAAATAAAAAATGTATTTTTGTAAGTTAAAAAATTTGGAAATAGGAAACTTTAACAACACATACATACTAAAAAATATCAACTTTACATACTTTATGAGAAAATTAAAGATTTCTAAAAATTAACAAATAAAAAACATTAAATAAAATAAATATAATTAATTAAACCATATCAATTCAAAAGAAATAAAAACTACTTTTGGGGCTTGACCATCGTATTACAGTACTTTACTTTACTGTTAGACTTTTATTTAATTTAGTATTCCGATCCCTCTGTCTTATTCAAACGTTTTCACTTTCTTTTTTGGACTTCCATATAAAGATTCTCATTTCTATTTAAAAAAATATTTAACACTAGCTTTTAAACAAAAATTTAATAATCAAATATTAAAAATAATACTATGTACATTTTTAACATCACAATTATCATCATGACCTCATTATATTATATACCCATCAAAATTATTTTTCAGAGTATACTCGAATATATTTATTGATAATTGTCTAAATAACTGAGTCATTTTATAATGAAAACCTTTAAGCGGGAATGCGGGACGGAGGTAGTATATCAATTATCCAATAGATTAAATATATTTGGTAATTGCCATTTTAGTTCAAACTTCTCTCCTGGATCTCTAGCAACTAGCTTGTATTGACTAATTTGTTTGTCCAAGCTAGAAGGAAATATGCACTCCCATATTAGGCTACTAACTTGAATATTTTTAAAAATTGCAAGTCCTTAGCGTCACCATTGGAAAATAAATGGGTATAGCTCACAGCCTCACACAAAAGCTAAGGGAAGAATTGAAGTACCGTATATATGTATAGTATATGCATTCCTCCCGGCCTGGCCCCTGTTTATGACTATAAATACATCACCACTTTTAAGTTGGTCCTCCAACAAGACATCTGTCTGCAAACATTTATCTATATTTGCAAGAGGCAATATAGATAATGAAGGCTTTCAAGTATGTATTAGCGTTTATTATTATAATCACACTGAGTGGGGGTAATGTGCTGAACATCAACAACAATAACAACTTTAGTGTGATTAATGGAGTGAAGGGCTCTACAACCCTCAAAGGTCAGTCATCTCATCATCTTCTTGGGGATGTGGTTTCCCAGAAAACAAAGGAGAATTATCACCGCTTCACTGCAACCATCACAGAAAGGGCTGACTCGGGACCAAGCCGTAGAGGCAGAGGCCATCACTGAGGTGCATGGCTAAGATCTGTCGATGAAGCACACTGCTCGATCGATCTCATCGATCATACTTAGCTTGTATCCATCCGGCCGGTGATTTCATTCTGGGGCGTTCTTTTCTTTAACACTTTCTTCTTTGTTTAGTGCTCCCTTCTTTTCAGTCACTTTGTCAACTTTCTTTTTTATATGTCACCATAACTTTTTAAGTAATGAATTCGTGGGTTAGTTTAGTTCTTTCTCTCCCACGCAAACCTCAATCACACAATTTTTTCTTTTCTAATTTCACATCCATTATTAAGTTGTGATGTTGAGTTGGATCGAGGTAGTACAAGAGGGTAAATTATACCCCTCCGTCTTAAATTGATTTATAAAGTAGGGTGCTACAGAGTTGTTTGTAACAGTTGTCTGTGCGCGTGAGACCGACGAGTGTATGAAAGGTGTGCACAAAAAAAATGTACACCAAACATTTTTCATGAAATAATGTACGTACTTTGGGCGTGAGAGTCGTGTACTGTACCACTCAAGTAAGACCTATTTTTACCTTCATGAAACGCGCTTCTCTTGATAGCATTTTTTAAGGTAGATTCTATAGTACCCATAAGGTATCGACCTTTGTCCACATGGACCAATCAGAATCATGCAGCTGAATTATTTAAATCTTAATTAAAAGGGATTTAATGATTTGGACCAATCAAATGCATGGTAGGTACGGTATCCTATTTTTTAAATGGGTACCGGAGTTGTCACCTTTTTTAAATTATCTTGTTCATATATTTATTATTGAAGCCAGGCACTTTAACAATGCAATTTAGAACCTCTTTGCTAAAATTGAAATTGACTGAATCAGTTAATTCCACAAAAATTGATGAGGTTTTGACTTAATCGGTTAACTCTGGTGCATTATGGAAAAAATATTTTAAATTATATTTTATAAATAAAATAAATAAAAAAATTATACATAGTATGAAAAATATAATACGGAGTAGCTAATTCCCTACAATAATTTCAGCTAATTCAGCTAGAAAAACAACTTTAACCTTACTTATTTTGATTGTTATAATATTCAAAGTACGTAATCAAAAGTAACGTATTTTTTTAGAAAAGGAAATTTCATTGAATATGAGTAAAGTAAAATACATTAAAGAGAAGAGAAAAACAACAAAAAAGAAAGGAACTGCAAAAAAAGAAAATAAACATAAAAATGTCCCAAGAGGAAGTATAAATAAAGGACCACACAAGAGAAAGTTCACATACACAACCGGAAGCTAAGTATAAATAAAAATATGTTCATATAGTTCATAAGACGAAAATAAGAAAATAACTAGGGGTCAGCAAAGAGACTCGATCTTACAATCCTAAGAAGTTTTTAAATAGGGAAAATGGAAACTAATAATTCAACCTTTTAGCGGTCTTCTTTTAATAGTTCCACCTTTTCGTTATTTATGAATAATCCAACCTTTGCACCTCATCTTCATTCATTGGTCCCTGACCGGTTGATGACCTACTATTCCAAGTTAATTTCTTATCTTTGCAAAATATTATCTTTGTGAAAGGTGGAATTTATGGTATAATAGTTTGCAGAGATGAGAAAATAACTCGGAATAGCAGGTCATCAACCGGTCGGGGACCAATGAATGAAGATGAGGTGCAAAGGTTGGATTATTCATGAATAACGAAAAGGTCGGACTATTAAAAGAAGACCGCTAAAAGTTTGGATTATTAGTTTCCATTTTCCCAAAAATATATTTGTATTCACTTTTATATCCATCATGTTTATGTAAAGCTTTCTTTTTGTATGTGAATCACGTTCACAGATAAAATATGTCTTATTGTGTCTGTCTGTGCAAATTTCGCACAGACAAAATAAGACATATCATGTCTGTAAACCGGATTCACAGACAAACAAAACATTTACAAACATGGTGAGTATAAAATGAGTATAAAAGTGGATATAACAAGAATGATTGCAAACTGAATGTACAGAAATTCAATATATCAAAAATATATTTACGATTTCTTGCATGTACAGACATTCTTTATAGGGAAAAGGTGCAAATAGGCCCATGTACTAACCAAAAAAGGTCAAATAAGCCCTTATTTAGGAAGTTCTGTCCGGCCGTTGTCATTTGGGGTGGTTCCCGGTGGATTTTTTTGATGAATTTTTTTTAGCATCTTATTCATCAAGTCTAGTTTGCTCATACCAAATTTCAGCTAAAACTTCAATCGAGAAGGCATTCAAATGAATTCTTGAAGATAACTGCGCTTCTAACTGCTCAGTTATGTTCAAGAATTCATTTGAATGCCTTCCCGATTTAATTTTTAGCTAAAACTTGGTATGAGTAAACTAGACTTCATGAATAAGATGCTCAAAAAATTTCATCAAAAAATTCCACCGGGAACCACTCCAAATGGCGACGGCTGGATAGAACTTCCTAAATAAGGGCTTATTTGACATTTTTTGGTTAGTACATGGGCCTATTTGCACTTTTTCCCTTCTTTATATATCAAAACTTACGTAAGGTAGCATTACACATTTCTTATCACGAAAATTTTAGTGCATCATGGTTTGGAAGATAGAGAAAATATACAATATGTCAATATCCAAACAAACAATCATGTGTTCGAACCGATAAATATTTCCCTTGGTTTGTGTAACCCTTATGAACGATTTATTTCTTTCGAAACTTTTTGGCTATGCTTCAAAAGAAATTTATTTTTGATATTTTGTTGGGTTAAGTCTTCAAACAAAATTTTGAGTATAGCACAAAATATATTAGAAGTACGTAGTGTTTCTTAACTTCTTTATCATACCGGAGTAGTTTCTTGCAATCAAACAAATTCTCCACGGTAACTAATATTCAAAAACTTTTCTTCATACGGAGTATATATAAAACATGAACAGCAACAAATTGCTTGATTTCCCACAAATTTCACAATGATGGTTTGGAGTAATTTGATCATGCTACATAGACAAAACAAGTAAGATACCTAAATCAGCTGACGTGTCTCTACACAAATAATTCGTGGCGGGTTAGCCAAATTATACACATTAAAGCAAGATGATATAAAAGTGTTTTTGACTATTCCAAAACGAGCACATCGGGCCTTACATTTGATTAAATATTCTAATTTTTATCACAAAAATATACAGTCCCAAGAAATTATTGCGGCTCTCTCCCTCTAGGTAGCAGCATTTGGCAATACTTTAGGTTTTGGCTTCACTTCAACTTCATTCACACTCCGGATGAATATGGCATCTGGTTCATGACTGAAAGAACAATAAAACGAGTTAAAGTCATTCTTCAAAGCTAAATTTTTCTTATAGATAGCAGTGGCTATCCATTATTCTCCTTGATCCATTTGATCACACAACAAAACCTTCTAACCCGTATTTTTTCATTTATTAATAGTTCTCATTTATAGTCCATGTTAGCCATCTCTGCAGATGGAAGCAATGGGAATATAACAGATAGATAATATTAAATACCCAATCCATGAAAAAATGAATTAATGTTAGGATGGATAGGAATTTAGGATAAAGGATGGAATAGATTTATCTGTTCATATAATCCGAGTTAAATATATATATGGTCCATTCATTTTACCACACACAGATGTATAGAGGCCTACACCACATTGATGAAAGCTACTACTTACGCTTTATCGCCCTCTTCAAAAGTATAACTCGATGCAACAGCCAATAGTTTGCCATCTCTGCTAAATGACAAGGCTGCAACGCTGGAAGGGTATTTGGAATACTGCAGGTTGATTCCAGATAGAAAATCATCAAGACGGAAAGTGGTGATATGTTATGAGTAAAAGAGCCTATGTAGATGTAATAATTACCTGATATAACCTCTTCTTGTTGTTTCCATCCCAAACGTTAACATAACCATCACACCCCCCAGTTGCAAAAGTACCATATCTGCACAATTGATTAAGGGACTGCATAAGATTATCTTACCCCAGCCATAAGGGAAAATGCATAGAGAACAAACTTGCCACCAATAGAAGTCGTCTTATTCAACTAGTTACCATAAACTAATGTTAATCTATCAGTTTACACCCACCACCAGCTACTTGGATAGTATTGGATCTGTTTAGTTTTATGATCGATTCTGCTTGGAAAGTCATGAGCATATGAAGTCAGAAACTTACATAGGGTGAAATGCAATTGCATTTACAGGGTAGACAACATCCCTTCCAGCTTCAGATTTTCGATGACATTTGAATGCATACCTACATGGTCACATTACATTACATTTATGAATCAATTTGTTGTTTGCGACTTCATAATTAAAATCATCGCTGTATTAAACATAGACCAAGAGAAATGATTGTTATCAAAGGTAGAACGGTAGAAGTATGAAGAGAAAAATAAAGGTTCAGAAAATGATTGCTTTGGTTGCTTAGTGAATCAATTGATTTGCTTACTGAACAAGTTAAATGAGCTTGAGTAATTAAACCTATCAACCAAGTGAAAAAGTATTATCGCTAAGTTCTAAGGTAAGAATAACAATACTTTTTGGATTGACCAGCCTCAGAGAGGTCGAAAAATTCCATGGCAACACGGCCTTCAACTGAACTAAGAGCATAACCTGCAAATTAAACTTCCAATCAAAAAGTGCATCATCCAAAAGTATGTGAAATGTATTCAAGGGATTGGCTAGAAGACGTTACTACGTTAGGTATAGGACTTAGGCTTAAATAGCTTAAGTGATTTCAGGGATCATTCCCTAAATATTTTAAAATAAGTATGTTTGACTGGGAATAACATGAGAATGGGTGCCTCCCTAAGAAATTTCCCATCAAAACGTCTGATGATGTGAGTGAGGACAAAGTAAGCTAGAAAGAACCAAAGTGCTACTGCATTGAAACAATTTTTAAATCCATGTCACAAGTTGGTAACAGAAGAGCAAGATACAGTTCAAAAATGAACTATGGAAAAACTAGTGAGCATGTGCCGACTGAAGATGATGAAGGCAGAGAATGATAACTGGTGTTTATGACACGGATGACTAGATCAGGAGCGGGTTCTCACAAAGCTTCTGAGTTGAGGGGAATCAAGGGATCTATCCATGCATGAAGAGAGACAATTAAACTGTGCAAGGTTGTGGCTGAAGAGCTAAATGATTTTAAAATTTACAGGTATGAGACTGTACATTGAGAATATAGAGGCAGTCATCAAATATGGGTGTCACAAAAGGGGTGTACCCAATGTCAAAACTCCAACATACTGGATGGTTGGGGTAAGATAATCTTATGCAGTCTTTTCCCCAAACTTTTTTACTAAGAGACTAATTACAAGTTTAAAAATCTTGAAATCAAGCAGTGCCATAACAGCCTCCACATATAGAAAATGGTGAATATTCCATAGATTACCTGTTCCATTAGGATAACAACGCACACATCTTGTCTGATATTTTAGTGATGACTCCCTCCGTTGCTCAGGTTGAGACATGTTTCGCAGATCATAGACATTAACATGTCTTCCAGCAGTTGCTACCACTAAACGATTCCCAACCAGAGACAGAGAGTAAACACGCTCTGGTTGCGGGTATGTCCCAACAAGAGTGTGCTCCTGTCCACTTGCGCCTCTTGGATCCCAACACTTTATGGTTTTATCCCAGCTACCAGTGATCACTTGTCCTATATCATAGACAAAAATCACTCTTTTCAAATGTTTCCAAGCCACAAATATGAATAAATAGGGATTAATACATTTATCATTAAAGCTCACAATTATTCAGAAAATGACTATCACAATTTCACATGCAGTTGAAAATTTGAAATAATAAAAATGACTTTCTATTTTGTTTTTGAAGTATGCATTTTCTTATTATCATAATTATCTTTTCATCTCCAGAAATTTTAAAGCACTCAGTGTATAGAAAATTATGAGTAAGTATTATTTTAAATATTTAAATTCCAAACAAAACGCAGCTAATCAATACTGAAAATCAAGCAGTAATAGTTCCTGGACATTTGCAGACAACATTTAGAGAACTTACCAGTATATGAGTATTCAACGCAGCGGACAGGCGCATCATGCCTTCCCAAAATGTCATCCCTTTTATGGCTGAACACAAGTCTGGTCAACCAAGAAAAATAATTTTCAGTTAGGGGAAAATGTAGACACACTAGACATAAGAGCTGCGCAAGTCAGAAGTCCTTCAATTTACATCAAGAAACCAACCAAATAAGTAAATAACCAACACATGATTTTGCATTTGAATAATTCTTCTTTTGTATAAAAATCCGATTTTCTAGGCACAAGGGAAATATTTTATATTGAAATTACTGAACCAAAGAATTAGTGCTGGCGAATAAGATAAAAGGTCCACCATGGTAGGACCTTTCTGGTTAGTACATCATATCATTATCATTATCATCATCTTCTTCTTCACCGCAATCCAAACTAAGTTGGGAATCAATGGCATGAAATGATTATCCCCATAATTGTCTATATCAGTTTACACTAATATAAAGAAGGAAGATTGGGGTGAAGTTCCAAATCTGTTGTAATCATCATAAGCTTTTCTACATGGTAATACTCTATGGCTGAAAAAATGAAAATGGGTCTGCCTAGATGTATAACTTAACAGTGACTATAAGAATCGAAGTATCAAATACACCAATAGATGGAGACAAAGAAGCTAAATAGCTTTAGAAAAATATGATCCACTGGGTACCTTCTGACAGTATTATCAAGACTGGCACTGAATCCAGAAGAATCATCATGGAAACAGCAGTCGAGCACAGCACCTCCGTGCGAGAAGGTTCCTCTCAGCGAATTAGGCGCATTAGCACTGGCATCATACAGTCGAACAGTCTAATCGAAATGCAAAGTTCACACATTTTTATTAGGACGACACCTCCTAATATGAAATCCGGAGAACAACTCCAGACAATGAAAATTAGGGAAAAAACTTACGGCATCCCAGGATGAGACGAGGAGTAGATCGCTGTGATTGGAGAAGCGGAGGTTGGATATGCCGTCCTTCGGAGGATCAGAAAGCTCCCGTCCGGTTGACAGTGGCCCCGCCGTCATAATTCCGTCGGTGTCGTGTTTGTCAGAAGAGATCGGAGAGAGGCAGCGCTAGGGTTTATTCCGATAGAGGGAATACAAATGTTTGAACTGTTTTTTACCTGGGGATGGTTTTTGAAATTATAACGTTAGCAATTTATGTACCCTACAGACATACAAACAGTTCAATCGACATTGGAAATTTTGAATTCAAACTCAGAGAGGGGACTTCGGATAGCGATTCCTTTGGTGTTTGTTCCACGTATTACTCTGTAAGTCTGTAACAGTTTTTGTGCCGCTAACGTGGTGCTCATTTGTTTGTCATTGTGATGTGTTTCAGACTTTCTCTTCAATTACAAAGAGTGCCGCTTGGCATACACATTGTGTAGGCAATTACACATTGTGTATATGGATGGACTGGGCCGGGCCGAACCGGCCCGGAACCGGACCGGCCCGCTACTGTGCGGGCCCGGACCGGACCGGGCCCGGTTGGCTGGTTCCGGGCTTTTAGCCCGTGTTGGCGGGTCGGGCGGGCCGGTTCCGGGCCCTATTTTTGTTGAACCGGCCCGGGCGGTTCGGGCCGGCCCCGGTTCATTTTTTTTTTTTTTTTTTTGGTTTTTTCAATTTTTTTTCTTTTCCTAGGGTAGGGCTGGGTGTTTTAGGGAGGTTTGGGACGTGGGGGTGAGGGGGGGGGTAGGGAGATAACAAGAAAGTCAAAAAAAAAAAAAAAAAACATTGAACCGGGCCCGGCCCGGTTAGGCCCGGACCCGGTATCAACCCGGGCCGGTTCCGGGCCCATGTAACCCGAAAAAAAGCCCGCCCGGGCCCGGCCCGGAACCGGAACCGGACCGGCCCGGGTCCATCCCTAATTGTGTAGGCACAAAGAGTGCCTGTTTCGATCGAGTATTGGGGAGAGTATTGGGGAGTGTTAGTAATGGAAGTATTATGGAGTGTTAGTAAAGGTTTGAAAGTGTTAACCATAACCTTCCTAACACCTTTACGGCCTGTTTGGATTGAGTGTTGAGGAGTGTTAGTAATGGGAGTGTTAGTAAGTGTTGATGCTAACACTTGTTTGGGAGAAAAATCCAGAGGTGTTAAGAAGTGTTAGTAATGGTTAGGAAGTGTTAATAATAACCTTCTCAACACCTCAATTGTCCATTTTTTTAACACCCCGATTTGGAGTGTTTTGAGGTGTTGGACAATTCTTACCCTTCTCATTTACCCGAAAAACATAAAATGATTCGACATTTCACTTCGAATGTCTTTCCCACGGGTCTCATGGTTTGTTTTTTCATCTCTTCTCTTTACTCGTTTCTTTTGCCTCAAGGTAAAATTATTAACACTTTCATTATTAACACTTCATTCATTTGACTCTCCCAAACAAGGTAAAATTATGTCTAACACTTACACTTCCCTTCCCTTCCGAGCCCTTACTAACACTTACTAACACTTCCATTACTAACACTTCCAAACACTCCATCCAAACACTTCCAAACACTCCGAGACATTTGTACACATTTTTAAACAATGGGATTTTAGGAGACATTCAAGACATTTATGCATTTGCCTAGATTTTGGTGGATTTGAACATGAGACATTTTTAACTTTCACCTTTTTAACACTCCAATTTGGAGTGTATTGAAGTGTTAGACAATTTTTACCCTTCAATATTTTTCTCCTTCTACGGTTCTACGTTCTACCTCTTCTCTCCTGCCTCACTTGCGCTTCACTATTTCTCTTTCATGGCTTCTTCTCCTTCTGCGGGGTAGTCTCCACTCATCTTCTTGGATCTCTCAAGTCTTCTACTCTTCTTTATATTTTGGTACCAACGACTCATAGAGTCATAGGCTCTGTTTTTTTTATATTGACTCTGGGATTTGGGCTAAAATAGTGCAATTGATCTTTTTATTTATTCCTCAGAATATTGGCTCTGGGATTTTGGCTATATGCATCTCCGATCAAGAGAAGGATATGGGGTTAAGCTTTGTGCCTCACATGCTCTTCTTTGATTTCTCTTTTTATTTATTTCTCAGAATTTTGTTTATTTCAATATGAAGCCTGCGCAATTTCCCTCTGCCTCACCTCCAGTTTATAATTTTTTTTATCTTTCCACGGTGTTGGGTTGAAAGAATTTCAGAAAGATATTGTGTAAATTTTAAATACTGTATGTACCATTTAAAAAACATGAGGATACTTTTGTCCATTAAGTGAAAACATTTCTTTTACTAACACTCCACTTTTTTAACTCTTCTAAACATGGTTAATTTATATTTAACACTTACATTTATCATCCCTTCCGGGTCCCTGTCAACACTTACTAACACTTCCGTTACTAACACCTATTAACACTCCATCCAAACAAGCCCTAATGATTTTAGAAGGAATTATGTGTGTAGACAAACAATTAAAGAGTGTACATGAAATGGGTATAAAAAATGTATATCAACAAGAGTGTACATGAAATGTGTATAAAAAATGTATATCAACAACATTTTGCAATTACAAATTATAAATGTGTCTTTTGCAATTTAACTTTGTCTTAGTGGTCAAAATAAATAAAAGATGCTTTTGTTTTAGGAAAAACGATCCTCTCAAAGTATATCAAAACAATTGACCTCAAATCTGAAAAATACTCAATTAGATTTACTTTGTATAATCTAGTTGACTAAGTCCCGATTACGAGACACGGATGGACCCACACGTCTATCTTTAATCTTTTTCCTTTCATATTTCACGTCATCTCTTACTTTTTCTTTTTCTTTTCTTTTTCATTTTATTTTCTTTCTTTTACCTCTTGGTTTTCTTTTTGTGGTTTCTTCTTTCGCGACCTTCTCCCCTTGTTTATTCTTCCACCATCTTTATCATTTTATTTCTTCTTGAAAGTGAGGAACATTATGATAAGGGGAGCGCCAAAACCAGAGATGACTAGGAGGGCCACCGTCCTCATCAAGGTCTGGCGACGATTTATCAATTGCATCATCTAAAAATTGTCACCGCTGATTTCATCCGTAGAAACATAAAAGATAACAGTTATAGAGGGCCCGCCCTTTCCCACTCCAGCATTGGAGGTCACCAGATCTTGGGTTTCATGTTGTTGAAAGGCGGACGAACCTTGATTTTCAACAATGGAATTCATCTATCTATATATAATAACAAAAGGTTTCTTGGGGCACAAGTTCCCGCCAAAAACTTCATGGACCAAAGGTTTGCGGCTGAAGTTTCTAGGCAGTTGTGTTATTCTATTTTTTGACGCAGCGACCTAATTGAAATTGTAGATTTGTAGTGAAATTGTGAGTATTTCATTTATTGTGTGCGGCGGTGCACTCTTCGTATTCCAAGGATGCATGGAGTAAAGTATTGCAGTGGAAACTTCCAGACAGGTGTGTTATGATTACTTTTGTTGCATCGATTGAAAAAAATATGTTATCATTAAAGTATATTGTGTGCGGCAATTAACCATTGGTATTCCAACATATCGCAGCTTCAATTAACCCTTCTTATTCCAATGCCTGAACCTATATATATATATATATACTGAGGTACTTGCATTTGCTTGCCATCGAAATTCATTTGCTTTCCTTGCTGTTTTATTATTACGAAGAAGAAGCAATGGTTGGTATGTGGAGTTTGATTAGGGATATCACCCCAGGTACATCAACTTGGGCGGTTAAGGTCCGTGTTGTTCGTGTTTACAGAGTGCCTGCAAATGATAAGTATAAGGAGTCTCTGGAATGTATCTTTCATGATGAGGAGGTAAACGTGTGCAGATTTTTTTGGCTTTTCGTTCTCTTCATATTTGAATTATGTTATTAATCTTTTTTTTTATGATTGTGCAGGGCACAAGGGTGCATGCTCATATTGAGAAGAGTTTGATTTCAAAGTTTGAATATCTTTTTGCTGAAGGTCATATATATGCCATTAAGAATTTCTGGGTCCAGGAAAATTACATGGCATTCAAGACTACTCCTAATAACCCCTTGAAGTGAGAGTTTTTCTTCAAGACAGCAGCGTTTGAAATTCCTAGGGATGAATTCCCGGCTAGGATTTATGACTTTTCGACCTTTGCTTTTCTCCAGGGGCAGGAAGTTCTCAATGAAAATATAGCCTTTGGTATGTAGGGCAGCTTTTTTTTTATTTGTGTACAGTGGCATATAGATTTATATGTATGTATTATCTAATGTTCTTCGTTGTAGATGTGATTGGTAGGGCTGGAGGTAAAGGTATTGTTAAGTACAGAAGTGGTAGGAGGTTGATGGAGATTCCATTGCATGATGAAATGTAAGATGTTTGTTTTGGTATCATGTGTTTTTTTGGGTTCCAATGTGATTCAGTTGTAGTACTGACTTTTTTTTTTCTAGAAACAATTGTATCACTGCTACTTTATGGGGGGACTTAATTGATCGTTACACCCAGCATGAGCACTTTATGGGGGGACTTAATTGATCGTTACACCCAGCATGAGCAACAATTTGATGAGATTATCTTAGTCCTTCAAATGTGTCGTTGCAAAAAATATGAAGGTGTAGTCCTTCATTTACAGGAACTGGATGAGTTTGAAAAGCTTCGCAGGGAATTCAATGCAAATGAAGCGGTAAATGAGTTGTATTTCTGAATTTTTTGTTTATTTGTAACAACACAGTGGGATTAATGCAGATATTTTGTTAGATTGGTTCCACTGAACAGGAAGTTAACAGCCCAGCTCCAAGTTCAAGCCAGAGGGATGTCAATGTTGTTGAAAGGGAAACAGTTAAGCGTTGTCTCATGGGAGAGCTTTCTGTATCAGGCCCATCTAAGAAGCTGAAGTCTGTTATTAAAACAGAAAAGAAATGAGGAACATTGATATTTGGCTGAAGGACACATCGTTTTTTGTTATTTTTGCAAGTTTGATGTATTACTATGAATGACTTCAACTGCTATTGCCGAACTAAGGGTGTTGTTATTTTGTTTTTTGCTGTTTTGTGCCTTGGCAACAACTAGACTGTATTTAATGCATTATGTTTAATTTGTGTTTAGTAGTTCAATCATTATGGGTATTTATTATTGGTACTAGTAAACTCACTCGTGCGATGCAAGGTCTGAGAATTTTCCTTCAAATTTGTTTGTACTCACTAATTCAAATTATACTATCAATTGATGAGAGCATCTATCTACATGGAATATTGATATAACTTCAAACAATAAACAAAACACACTTATAATATATATTATAATTAAAAAGAGAGCACTAAATATTACTTAAAAGATCAAATAAATCCAACAAATACATAGAAACCATAACATTATAAATATACATTTCATGTAACCTTAAACATTGTTGAACACTTTTTGAATACAACATTCTGAGTCTTGTTCAGTGATTTCTTCTTCTTCGTCAATACCCGTGTGATGCACGATTGGTGAGATTTCGCGGGTATTATTAACATTAGCCAACATTTTAATTAAAAAATAAACAAACTTGTAATAATAAAACTTGACGTAAATGAAACATATAAAATACTACCTCCGTTCTTAAATAAATGCAACACTTTGACTTTTACACTATTCACGTGTTCTATTTTGACTATGTTTTATTTATTAATGTAATAATATTTTTTATGAAAAAAATATTGTTAAACTTGTCTCATTGTAAATTTTCATAATCTAATATTTTTTAATTTTTTTACTAATACAAAATCATATATTTTAATGGTCAAAGTTGTGTCTTGGCAAATGTGAAATGTTGACCGTTGCATTTATTTAAGAATGGAGGAAGTACAATTTACTGATTACAGAGTAGTACATTATTTTTTATAGCCCGGAAAATAGTAAGTAACACGCAATATAAACATCATTTGAAAACAAATTACATTCCATGGCAAATTTTGTGAAACACTTCTTTGTACCTTCTGTTTAGCATTAACCCTTGTTAAAAGGTAAATTATACTAAATACGACAAAAAAAGTTTTATGTATTCCAAAATTGGACCTTAAGGATGACAATATTTTTCAAGTTTGACATTAATTACGCTTATTTTGGCAATAAAAAACATGACAATCTTATTTTGGAATTCTCAAATTAAACTTATTTACTCATATTCGAAAATTTTCCCTTATTAAAATCATTCATTCAAGTAAATTTTTGACAAAGATTTTTCTCATTTTCAAATCAAAGGTCTATATATGTTAACTAAAGGTATAAATTTTTATACTTACTAAATCATATGGTGACATTACATCTATACGAATTGCATTATTTAGACGAATTGCTGATGTAACCTGGCAAATCAGGGGGGCAGATATGTGAAAATGTGTTATGTCTTTATCTATACGAATTGCTGGTGTAATTAACCTGGCAAATCAGGGGGTGTGCAGATATGTGAAAATGTGTTATGTCTTTATCTATACGAATTGCATTATTTAGACGAATTGCTGATGTAACCTGACAAATCAGGGAGGTGTGCAGATATGTCAAAATGTGTTATGTCTTTATCTATACGAATTGCATTATTTAGACGAATTGCTGATGCAACATGGCGAATCAGGGGGTGTGCAGATATGTGAAAATGTGTTATGCCTTTACCTATACGAATTGCTAATGTAACATGACAAATCAGAGAGTGTGCAGATATGTGAAAATGTGTTATGTCTTTCCTAAACTATACTTAAATATGAATTTATGAGAAAATCTTCAAATAAGTATTTATACATATAATGTTTTTTTTATGTATATATGTATATATAACTTTTTTAAATGATTACATAAATACGATTAAAATAAAGGTTGTTTATGAAAATGTGACATGTTAAGCATAGTTACTATGGTCAAAATGCTTTTTTACGTCTTTCAATTTTTTTTTATGTTAATTCACCAAAAGAAAATTCAACCCCAAAATTATTTAACTTCATTCTTCTTTAGAGAAATTGCACTTTCTCTAAATGAAAGGAAAATGAAATAGAAATTATTTTTACATTACAAATTTAGTATCATTTATATCTTTTATAATGACACAATATATGCGTGGATGACTTGCCATGAAATATCTTACCACCATCATCTTGTTTGTTAATCTGTTCCCCTGATACAGAAATGTTTAGATTACAATTATTGGAAAAATATCTTATTATTAATTTATTTTATTAATAAAATATAATTTATATGTATTTTTATAATTCTGTAAATTCCACTAATGCAATCTCTTCAAGACTTTGTCAAATTTAACATTGAATGAACTCATTATTCAATCAATTACAATCTATGATAAATTTATAATCTAAGTAACACATTATGGAGTATTTTTCTTAAAACAAATACAGAGTGCATAAGTAACACATTTGTGAGTATTTTGGTATATCCGCTCCATCCATTTAAACGGGCCTAGAATGAGCAGCCCATTGAAAATGAGTGTAAAGCCCAGGAAAAACAACCCATCTTAATAAAAATTTGAGGCCTTCGTAGAAGGAACAACCTTCCTATTTTCCCAGCAAGACAGCAACCTCAATCGGCTCAGCCCTCTCTCCAACCAAGAACTCTCGCAGACCCAACTCCATACGGATACGCAAGCAATGTATTCAGATAACGATCATGAATTAATCGACGGAAGGCCTCCTATACAGGAAGTCGATCGCAGCAATGACCAAAGCATTCGACAGAACCGACCTGTCATGCTACTGTCCGGGCACACACATCGCCTCCAACCATAACCAAAACCGACGGAACCGATTTATTCCGCCTTTCAACGTCACCCGACATCGGTAACGTTCTTCATACCACACCGCACCACCTTTCGAACACGCTTCTTTACATGCATAAACAACCCAAATCTATTTTAAACGAAAATCAAGTTCCAAACCCTATAGATCTGCAAGATCCGTCGATCTATTCTGAAAATGTTTTTCTTTTTTCGGTTTTGTTACTAATCTAAGATATAACGGTCATATCATTACAATATTTTAGATGAACTCACACTCTATATAGATTTAAACGAAAAACAACTTCCCAACCATACAAATATGCAAGATCCGTGGATATAGAGTGAAATGTTTTTCATTTTGTGATAAGTCTTACCCATTTTAGATAAACCGGCAATTTTAGTCCAACATTACGAACAGATATTTTCCGAAAATCATTTATGTTTTTTACTCTGTTGAAATGAGGGACATTTTTTTACTCCGTTTATTATTACAATATTTTGTAATATATGACAATAGACACCAATCTGTATAAAGATTAGACTGAAGACCTTCTTAAAAAAATAGAAGACCTTTATATGTCCCTTTAGGCCTTTACCTGGATTTTCTGACTTATTGCAAATATAATGAATTTTTTAGGAACAATAAGTGAAATGATGCTATTAACCTTTCGTAGGCCATTTAAAATAAATATCGAATATTTGTAATTGTCAATAGTTTGAAAACCTTTAATGTTTTTGGACTATTTTGTCAATTCACCTAAGTGAAATAAGTTTTTTAAAAATATTGTTCTAAATTTTTTTTATCTAAAAATAATTTATTTGGTTTTTCAAATTTATTGCGTATTAATTTAAGCATCTGCCCTTTTGAGAATTTATTATTTTTCTCGAATTTTCAGAGAGAATAACCCAGACTTTAAAACTTCTTGTAAAACATCATTTATTTTTAAAATTTGATCGCAACTTATAACATTTTTTGAAAACCAAGATTGTGCACCTCGCATAGGATCAAATTAGACGTCACGCTTTTATTTTTTTGGTAAAAAACACAACCACAAATTCTAAGAAGAATCTAGAGTTGTGAAGAGATTTTTAAAAATATTGACAATTGGCACAAATAAGTTGCAACGTGGCACACCCATTTATTTACCTAAAGTCACCACCAAACCTCATTTAAGAGAAACCACTTAACCCACATTTATTACTCCGTATTTGTATCTCAAAACACACAACCACCCACCTAAGCCTCATTTATATTATTAGACCACACACACCTCATTTATGGTTTGAAACAACACACCACACTTATATTCGCTGATGCTTATTGTTTTGAACAATACTGCCCAATCTAATTACAACACAAACCATACGCATGACTCAAAAGAAACAGCAGATGTCAACACAATACAATGAACTGGAAACAACATCATCATCTTCTAGCAGCGCCTCAAAAGGTATGGAAATGTTTAAATTTCTTCATTTAAATAAAAATATTATGACCTGCCATTTATAACCTATCTACTTTATAACACACGGAGTATTAAGTTTCTAAATAAACATTTTAACCTATTGATTTTAAAGAAATCAGATTTCTCGTTAAAACTTAACCTGTTTAGAAATTTTGAAACAGGTTATAATTAAGTTATAACCTATCCACGTTCCTCAATTTTTAAAGAGAACATATTCTAATGGTTATAAACATTTAATTTCTTCAACTAAATTAATATGATATCGTTATCTTTATAACCTATTAACCTCTTTGATTCTATTTTTACAATGACACGGGAGGAACTGAGTGCCCATAACATGGACAAAACCTTCACTTACAAAGCTCTCTACAGGTAACCCTCATTTCCTCAAACTGCATGTATATTCCTTTTTTAATTTTTTTCATACATTGGAGCTAACATACATTAATCCTGGAAGAACCATTTTTTTTACTGTCAAAAATTAGTTTGTCATTCGTCCAGACACTTAAACAAAGGAAATAGTTCATAGATAACATCTCAAAGGCACAAAATTGCTCAACATTTGATTTAGAGATTCTGCCAAAAGTATATTACGATTGATTATGTTTAAATTATCAATGGAAATTTTATTTAAATGTGTAGGGACATGCATTGCACCCGTCCAAACTCCAGGTTTGATTTTACAAACAAAGACTTACAATTGAAATTGAAGATAAAAACACAATTACATAATGATGTCTATTTGATATAACACAAATAGAAAGCCACACATCAACTGTGGACAACAAAAACATTACCCTAGTTAACTACCATACATGTATCATGTATGTTCT